ATCAGATGATAAAATGGTGGACAATCACACAATACTGGGAATCATGGCCTAGCCAAGTTGACAGATATTTTTGGGGGGCACAGTTCAATCCATGACAGGGATAGTGGTGGTTCAGTGGTAGAATTTTTGCCTTCCCAATTCGATTTTGGCCAATGCACCCCATGCACAGCCACCATCCTTCTGTCAGTGGAAAGCTGCATGTTGCTACGATGCTGAACAGGTTTTAATGGAATTTTCAGACTAAGAGGGACTAGAAGGAAAGGCCAAGCAATCTACTTCTGATAATCAGCTAATGAAAACTCTGTGGATCACTGTGGTCTGATCTGAAACCAATCATGGGGATGGCCCTGGACTGGGCAGCGTCTGGGTGTTGTGCATGGGATTGCTATGAGTCCGGATGACTCTACAGCAGCTGACAACAGCAACTAATAGGCAAAAATTTAATAAAAGTCTTGAAAATTCTAGGTATTGAAAAGCATGTGCAGACAAGGGGACTCATACACTGCTGGTGTGGGTGTAAATTTTTCAAACATTCTAGAAAACAATATGTAAAAATTGGCATCATCATGTAAAGCTGAAAATGTTTGTATCCCATGATGCAGTAATATCACTACTGACCTATTCCTAAAGAAACTCTTAGACAGCCACGCAACACACGTACAAAAACGTTCAGCGTTAAATTATTGGTAATAGCAGGAAGACTGAAAACAACTGATGTTTCCGTACACAGGAGAATGGATAAATAAAATGTGGTATATTTACTTAATGCATTCCAAGACAATGAAAATGAATGAACTCCAGCCACATGCATCAATGTGGATAAATCTAAAAATCAGTTTTGAGTGAAAAGAGTATTTGCAGAAGGATACATACCAATATTTTTATAAGGTTTAGAAACATACAGTAGTAATATACTATTTAGGGACACATCAAACTTGAAAAACCATGACAAAAAGCGTAGGAAAGGTAAACACAAAATCAGAAGAGTGGTTATCCTTGGGAGAGGATGCTATTCAGATGGATGCCCAAGAGTTAGTTAAAACAACAAAACAAAACAAAACCGTTGCCATCTAGTGGATTCTGACTCATAGCGACCCTTTATAAGAGTAGAACTGCCCCGTAGGGTTTCCAAGGATCAGCTGGGATTCAAACTGCCGACTTTGTGGTTAGAAGCCGAGTAATGATTTATTTCCTAATCCAGTGTTAAATTATTTTGTATATACGAAACGTGTCATAATAAGTTTTTAAACAGAAAGAAAAGAATCAGAGAATATTAGTCCTGAAAAGAACTCTCCTCAGTTACGAATGAAGAAATTGGGATACAGGTAAAATAACATGCAAAGATCACACCGCTGATTAGAGGCAGCATCAGGGCTAGAAGCCAAACCATATCTTTTTGGTAATGCTTTACATTAAGTGAATCGGCTTGATAACTACGGATTTGGCTTTTTGGTTAGATTAAGTAACTGCCCAATGGCCTCAGCAGTGGAGCTCGGACCCTGGATTTGGATCCGCCCCTTGCCTGCGGGCACCAATTGACTCTTGGTCACTAGCTCCTCCCCTTCCCCGCCCCCCGCGGGCCTACGAGGCAAGGGAGTTTCCTGGCCCGAGAAAACGCGCGGGGCGCGAGTGGGAGGGATAACCCGGAGTCAATCTGGAGCTCCTGGAGCCCGTCAACAACTGGTTGTAAGGCGTGGACTCCAGCTCCGCTTCGAATAATAACAGGCCGGGTTTTCCTTCACGCTTCTGGCCGGGGAGGAGCCCAGGTCTAGCGCGAAAATGAGGTCGGGGTGGGGCGCGCGCTGCTCGGCCCGGATTGGCCGCTCTGAGCGCCGTGGGGGTTGGCGGACGCTGCGCGGCTTGGCAGGCTCGGAGAGCGGCTCCCGGGTCCTTCGGTTGTGGGTTCCGGCTCCGGGGGTGCACGGAGTAAGTGCTTCCGACCCTCCGGTCGCTGGGTCGGAGACAGGCTTTATTTTCTTTCTCTCCTGTCGAGATGTATCTTCTTTTTCTTGGAGCCGTTTGTACTGCATACCGAGACTCCCTGGTTCTGTCACTGTGGTAACTTGTCCGAGTGGCAGGGCCTCTGTTCTCATGTGTGCTAAATGAGAAAAATAATAGTACCTACTTCATGGATTTATCGTGAACGTTAAAGGAGTTAGTCGTGAAAACAGTGCTTGGCAGGTGGTAAAGAATGTTAGCAAGTGTTAGTATTATGTGTGACTGAGTGTAGTCTAAAGTTGTGAGTCTCAGAATAGTTTGAAACAAAATTTGTCAGAGCTTCCATTCTAGTGGAGTTTACACTCTGGCCATATTTACATTTTGGCAGTATTCCCGTTATCACTCTTCAGACCCCTGCTGTATTTTGTAATACAAACCAAGGAGAGTAAAGCTGTCTTGCTGTTCTTAAAGGGACAGTTTAGGGTGGCTCAGGCAACTTATTTTTTTATTAAAAAGGGCATGCGTTTAAAAACAGTTGAAAAACTGCGCTGTACAATGTTAGTCTTCGTGGATTAATTGGTTAATGTCATGAGCGTATCCAGGGCCCCATCTGGGCAGGGCATGAGGTGGGTGAGGGCGGGGGAGTTCCTCCTGGGGTGTGGGAACACTGCCTGGAGAAGGTGGCGTTTGTAATCACGGGGAGCGGGTGGAAGACGCGTCCAGCAGAGCGTGGGGGGAAGGCTGGATGGAGGAGGACAGAGCAGGAGGTGGGAAAACCGGGCACTACATCCTTGTGGTCAGTGGGGAAGAAGTGAGGGCTCCCTCAATGGAGAAAAAGGGCGGGAAAAGAATATAGGCGCCTTGGACGTCAGCTGAAACTAGTTAAACTTTATCTGCTAGATCAGTGGGTTTTGTTTTTGTTTGTTTGTTTAACATTTTTGCATTTGAGAGGCTTGAAATCTGTTCATCTCTCCCACCAAAATGCACTGGTGAAGATATACCCGCAGCTTTACATATGATTATCAGAGATGTTTCCATCTTTCCAAAGCCCTGCTTTGGACCCAGCCTAAGGCATAGTGGAACCTTGACCGTTTTTGAGCACAGACATGACAAGAGACAGTGGAAAGGACTTAGGTTAAGACATTCTGTAATCTGGTTTCTAGTCCTGTTTCTGTTACTTGGCAAAGAACTGTTTACTTGGCTGCTTAACTTCTCTGAACCCCAGGATCATAATCTATAAAATGCCTTAAAACAAATACCTTCCTTCTCTCATGGGTTTTGAAAATCAAATAAAGCCATGTTTCTCACAGTGGTCCCTGACCAGCCACATCAGCATCACCTGGAACTTGTTAGAAATGCAAAATCTCAGGCCTAACCCCCAGATTTAAGAGAAAGTCTTGGGATGGAGCTCAGCATCTGTGTTTTTACAAGTCTTCCGGGTGATTCTGATGCACACCAAAGTGAGCAGCGCTGCTCTAAAGAGTTTTCCAACTTTTTTGACTGATTCACAGTAATGATGTCTTATATACATCATAACTAGTATGTAAACATACACACCCCTAGCAGAAAACAGAAAGTTCATGAAACAATACTATGTGTAGTGCAGTCTTATATTTTATATTCTCTTGTATTTCCTTTTTTTAAAATACTGAGGAAGAAATGGACTTTATGGGGCAGTTGATGAAGTTTGAATATGATTATATAATCACATCAGCGTTAAATTTCTTGATTTTGGCAATTGTACTATTATACAAGATAATCATGCCTTCTTAGGAAAGACACATTGAAGTATTTAGGGGTAAAGATGCACAATGCCTACAATTTAATCCTCCCTTCCCCCCCCCCACAGAAAGCAAATGAGACAAAATGTAAACAATTGGTGAATCTGGCTAAAGCATATATACAGAAGTTTCTTGTACTTATTCTTTCAACTTTTCTGTAAGTTTCAACTGACATCAAATAAAAAATTACTAAAAAAAAAATTGGTTCAGACACACTAAACTGATTTTGCTGTCTACAAATAGGTATTTGAAAAACACTACTGTAATCTCTTAGTCTGTGTTGTCTCCGTGGTGCATTTTAAAGTCAGGTACCGTGTTTTGAAGTGCACCAGGACCCTTGTACAAGGCCTGGCGCACAGAGGATACTCAATACTTACTCTGACATTATTATTTCTTGCCACTGTTAAATCTAGTCTTTATTTTAGTCACTATTGTTACATCTTTTTACTTTGACCATGTTGAAGATAGGCAACTTTATCCTTTTACTTTAATGCTCAACCAAGTGAGCATGGAGAGGTGGAAAGAGGACAGACTCTGGATTTGAACTGATATGGATTTGAATGCAGGCTTTTCTCCATCCTAGCAGAGTGTTGCTTTGGGCAAATTTACATCTGAAGCATGGAATTTGTGCTCTACTACTAGCCTAAACGTTGGTGGTTCAAACCCACCTAGCAGTACTGCTAAAGGAAGGCTTGGTAGGTAATCTGCTTACATAAAGATTACAGCCAGGAAAACCCTATGAGCAGTTCTGCTCTGTAACACATGGGGTCGCCATTAATCAGAAGCAACTTGATGGCAGCAGGTTTAGTTTTTAGTTTTTATAGGACTGTTAAGAGTTAAATGAGAAAATGTATTTAAAAGAACCTGTCACAAGATGGAACAGTTGTCAGGTGCTTAGTAAATGGTAGCGTAACTTCCCTTTCCTGACTTCTTCAGAGACATTCTGTCATTTGCTGATTGATTAGGACTTCAGAGATAAGTATAACAGCAGGATTATGAGTTTTCCATGTTCCTGAGGGAGAGGGGTATATTATTTTGCACATTAGTGGTAGGATTTGGCCTATAAAAATATGATTATGTAAATTTGTAGAATATGGGTTCTGCTTCCTAAAAGGATTTTACTGTAACCTAAATTTCATCATTGGCACACTATTATTGCAACTAATGAACAATGTAATTTGAAAAGAAAATACTTTGAAAAGGTTGCAAGTTATGAGTTTTTTTCCTAATTATTTTAAATATTTCCTAACTCTCTTCTGTGTTTTTGCTGTTTAATAGTGCAAAATATTCAAAGAACACTTCAGGAAGAACACATGCCATGAAAGATGTAAGTTATCTTTTTATATTTTAATGTAATTTTCTCACAGTTGACACTATGATTACCATTTTGTGTGAGTTTCAAGAGTTTCATAGACTTCACTTGATAAGCTCAGTGTTTTATTGTAGTGAAAAATGTTTTCCGTTTCCTCCTTTTTCCATTATAATGGAGAAAATGATTGCTGTTAACATTTTGGAATCATATTTCTTTTTCTTTGAGCCTAGGTTGGTTTTATTTTGGTTTAGATAATTGCCATTGTGTAAAAAGTGTACAAACTTTTTGTATTTTGCTTTTTTCACTTACACTCTTTTCTCCATGTTAATCTTTTAAAACAATTGTTTATAATATTCCCCTTAGTCCACATTATAGTCTTACTTGACCGATTCCTCATAATTTAGGCTACTTCCAGTTTTTCACTGTTATAAACAAAACAAAATTTGTGTATAAAATAGTATCTGTATATAGAGACATTCCTTTAGTATAGAGCCTTAGAATAAAAATGGATGTTAAAGGCAGATACATTCATTTAACACTCTTGATAGTTAATTCTATTTTCTGATGGCTTGTCCACATTTGAATTGACATTAGCAGTGTATAAGAGTACTTTTTTCTAGGTAGCTGAAGTCTTCTCTTTGCTCTCCAGTCCTGCCCCTGGCTTTCTGTCTTGGGTGATCTCTTTCTTCTTTGCTGCGCTAACCCCAGCCTCCAAAGGGTGGCAGCTTTACTCTCTGGGAAGCCCTGGAATACCTTGGAGGGGTTTCTCTCAGCTCTCGGCTCCAACCCCAGCCTTTGCTTGTTCTTTGGATGAGTATTTCTCTGCTCTCATACCCTACTCCCTGCCTTTGGTAGCTGATGTCTAGTATGCCTTGGAGAAGTTTCTCTAAGTTTGTTAGTTGTATAGTGTTCCTTAGCTGGGAGTATCTGGGATGGATTTCTTCAGCTTTGGTGTCCTTGTTCCTTTGGAGAGTGTTGCCTGATTAGAGTCCGTGCCCTGGAGCAGTTGAGCCAATGAAATGTACTCCAAGTCAGAAAGAATGAGAAAGTTTTACTAAACACTAAAGAGATCTGGCGGGGGTGGGGGTGGGATCTGACAGCAACTCAGGCTGTCTCTATGGAATCCCAAAGGGCATGTTTACATTAGAGCTTATATGTGAATTTTACAAAGGGTAGAAGTGTAGTTATTCATTACAAAGTAATTACAAGAGACTATCATACTAAAAGATACATGCCAGACATCTCCTTATCAGGCTGAAAATATACATATCAAACATCTGGGCTCCAGTCTTTCTGTGGAGGGTCAGATGGCTGGACACAGCAAAACAAAGTCATTAACAAAGGTATGTGTAAAGGAGAAGGCAAAGAAAAAAGAAAAAAAAAAAACTTACAGGTTCATCATGGCGTTAGTTATGTCAAGCTCTCAGTTGCTCATTTTGAAAAGGGGAGTATTAGGGTCACAAGGGCAGCTACCTTACACTGGTGGAAGCCCCAGATCCCTCAGAGAGCATCTGTCATCTCTTCTTCTTTGGCATTCCCCTGCCCAAGTCCTTCATGAGTTATTCTGTCAGTAAGGGTTTATGAGCGATAAAGGTTTTTGTTTTGTTTGCCAATTTTATTGCATCTCCTTTATATCTTTTATATTTCATCTTATTTTCTTGTCTGTTAATAGTACCCTTCCACATTTTCCAGAGCTACTATGGTATTTTTCTCATTTTATATGTGCTTTGGTCTTTTTAGTAAGGTTTGTGATAGGAGGAAGGGAAACTTCATAGGCTTATGAATATATTGAACTGTAAACCTTGGTCTCTTTCAGTCAGGGGTTCTTACACCTGTATACACTCAAAACTGTTTATGAAATTTTGGGTATATGGGCATATTTCTGGCTAGAGGACCCTGGTTTTCCTTAGATCGTAGGTTGGTGAACTACTACCCTCAAGCCAAATTCAGCTCTCTTTTTTACTTTGGCTTGTTTTTGTACAGCTGTACAAACCAAGAATGCTTTTTAAATCTTTAAACAGTTGAAAGAAACAAAAAAAATCTCATGCCACATGAAAATTATATGAAATGCAAATTTTAGTGTCCATAAATAAAGTTTTATTGGAACACAGCCATAGTCATTCTTTTCTGCATTGTCACTGTCTGCTTTCATACTACAATGACTTGAGATGAGTAGTTGCATCAGAAACCCTATGGCCCACAAAGCCTAAAATATTTTCTCTCTGGCCCATTGTAGAAAATATATGCTGACCTCTGTCTTAGATTCTAAATTCCCCCAAAAGTGTTAAGGATCCCTCCTTTAAGCAGCAGTGATACCAGGTGTGTCCTTGAAAATAGATGCAGCTTTGTAATGTTCTTTGCTTGTTAGAGCCAGTTCAGTAACTTTACCTTTATTCACTTTTAGAAAGCTGACCAAAAGCACAAGCCTCCTGATGTGTTTGATTTTCCTGATGATTCTGCTATCTCAAGCATTGACAGGCTGGGTGAAAATGAGCAAGATGAAGAACCTTATGAGGCCTTTGGTTAGTATTTTAAATCTTTATCCTAAACAACATCACTTAGGCTCAATACTGATAATAGATACAACAACTAATAAAAATATAGAAATATCTTCAAATATAAAAATCAGTTATCTGCATATTAATATGTTCTGGGGAGTGCCTGATGATTTGAGTGAATTTGTCTCACTTCTGGATACATTGGAACTGTTGTTGTTATTCAGTTGCCATCAAGTTGATTCTGACCCATAAGGTTTTCTAGGCTGTGACCTTTCAGAAGAAGATTGCCAGGCCTGTCTTCCAAGGTGCCTCTGGGTGGGTTTGAACAGTCAGCCTGTCGGCTAGTAGTCAAGTGCAGAGCCATTTGCGACACTCAGGGAATCACATTGAAGCTAAGAACACTAAACAATATCAAAGTAGAACTCAGTCAGACCCACCTACTGTAGTACTAACGAGGAATATAAAATATATTTCTCACACCATACCACCAATAGAGCCATTCAGTAGGGTGTTTTAATTTAGGAAGAGAAGAGGGGTTATTTCCCCTTATCTTAAACCAACTGAGGCAGGGATCCTTCAGGAGATCCACTGCAGAGCTTCACCCCACTACCTTGGAGTGTGAGGGAAACAAAGTGGCCAGGAGTACCGTGAATTGTACAAAGGGGACTGCTCCTCTTTTGATGTGTCACTGATGGCTCCAGAGGCCAAGAATGATACAGAAAGTGCCATGTGCCCCACTTCTAGAAGAGCAGGGACTGAACATTTTTCCTGGGATATATTTTAAGAGAATTTTGAAAACTTATGTACCCTCCTATATACTTTTACTATGGTGTCTAAAAAACATTTTCTAATCTAATTTTTTTCTTAGTAACAGTAGAAATATTTTTAATGTTTTTCATTTTATAAGATGTAATAAGAAGTAATCATCACCAGAATATATCTTTTTTTATGATTTGATTTAAAAAAATTTAATTGCTTATTAAATAAATCACCTTGAATCAAAAAGAAATTACATTTTTAAAATTGAAATCTAATTCATACACCATAAATTAACCCTTTTTTTCTTTTTTTAATTGTACTTTAGATGAAGGTTTACAGAACAAACTAGCTTCTCATTAAACAGTTAGTACACATATTGTTTTATGACACTGGTTAACAACCCCAAGGCATGTCACCACTCTCCGTTCTCAACCTTGGGTTCCCTATTACCAGCTTTCCTGTCCCCTCCTGTCTTCTCGTCCTTGTCCCTGGGCTGGTGTGCCCCTTTAGTCTCGTTTTGTTTTATGGGCCTGTCTAATTTTTGGCTGAAGGCTGAACCTCGGGAGTGACTTCATTACTGAGCTAAAAGGGTGTCTGGAGGCCATACTTTCAGGGTTTCTCTAGTCTCTGTCAGGCCAGTAAGGCTGCGCTTTTTTTTTTTTTTTTTTTTTGTGAGTTAGAATTTTGTTCTGCATTTTTCTCCAGCTCTCTCTGGGACCCTCATTAGTGATCCCTGTCAAAGCAGTTAGTGGTGGTAGCTGGGTGCCATCTCGTTGTACTGGACTCAGTCTGGTAGATGCCATGGTAGTTGTGGCCCATTAGTCCTTTGGACTAATCTTTCCCTTGTATCTTGATAGTTTTTCTTCATTCTCCGTTGCTCCTAAAGGGGTGAGACCAGCAGAGTATCTTAGATGGCCGCTCAGAGGCTTTTAAGACCCCAGACGCTACACACCAAAGTAGAATGTAGAACATTTTCTTTATGAACTATGTTATGCCAATTGAGCTGGGTATTCCCGGAGACCATGGCCCCCACAGCCCTCAGGCCAGCAATTTGGTCTCTCAGGGAGTTTGGACGCATCTATTGAGCTTCCATGACCTTGCCTTGTACAAGTTGCGCTGGCTTCCCCAGAATTGTGCACTGTCTAACTTCACCAAGGTTAGCACTTATCTATTGTCTATTTAGTGTTTTCCCATCCCCACCCTTCCCCTCCCTTGTAACTGTCAAAGATTGTGTCTTTTTGTTTGTAAACATTTTCATGAGTTTTTACAGTAATGGTCTCATACAATGTTTGACCTTTTGTGATTGGCTTATTTCACTCAGCATAATGCCCTCCAGATTCATCCATGTTATGAGATGGCTTTGCAGATTCATCATTGTTCTTTATCATTACATAATACTCTATTGTTTGTATGTACCATAGTTTGTTTATCCATTCATCTGTTGATGGGCATCTAGATTGTTTCCATCTTTTTGCTATTGTGAACAATGCTGCAGTGAACATGGGTGTGCATATGTCTTTTCACGTGATGGATCTTATTTCTGTAGGATATATTCCTAGGAGTGGGGTTGCTGGATCATATGGTATTTCTATTTCTAGCTTTCTAAGGGAGCGCCATATCATTTTCCAAAATGGTTGTATCATTTTGCACTCCCACCAGCATTGCATAAGAGTTCCAGTCTCCCTGCAGCCTCTCCAACATTTGTTATTTTCTGTTTTTTTTGATTCGTGCCAGTAATGCTGGGTAAGATGGTATCTCATTGTGGTTTTGATTTGCATTTCTCTAATGGCTAGTGATCGCAAACATTGCCTCATGGTGTCTGTTAGCCGGTTTAATGTCTTCTTTGGTGAAGTGTTCATTTCCTTTGCCCAATTTTTAATTGGATTATTTGTCTTTTTGTTGTAGAGGTACTGGATTTTCCTGTAGATTTTAGAGATTAGACATTTATCTGATTTGTAATAGCCAAAATTTTTTTCCCAGTCTGTAGGTTCTCTTTACTCTTTTGGTGAAGTCCTTTGATGAACATAAGCATTTAATTTTTAGAAGATCCTAGCTATCTAGTTTATCTTCTGGAGTTTTTGTGTTGTTGGTTATGGTTTGTATCCTGTTAATGCCATGTATTAGGGTCTCTAGCGTTGATCCTTTTATTTTTTCTATGAACTTTATAGTTTTTGGCTTTATATTTAGATCTTTGATCCATTTTGAATTGTTTTTTGTGTATGATGTGAGGTATGGGTCCTGTTTCATTTTTTTTGCAGATGGACATCCAGTTTTGCCATCACCATTTGTTAAAAAGACTGTTCCCCATTTGATGGACTTTGGGCCCTTGTTGAAGATCAGGTGACCGTAGGTGGATGGATGTACATCTGGGTTCTCAAGTCTGTTCCATTGGTCAGTGTATCTGTTGTTGTACCAGTACCAGGCTATTCTGACTACCGTAGCTGTATGGTAGGTTCTGAGGTCAGGTAGTGCGAGTCTTCCTTCTTTTTTCTTCTTCAGTAGTGCTTTACTTATCCGGGGCCTCTTCCCTTTCCATATGAAGTTAATGGTTAGTTTTTCCATCTCTTTAAAGAATGGTGTTGGTATTTGGATCAGGATTGCATTGCATTTGTAAATTGCTTTGGGTAGAATTGTTGTTTTCACAATGTTGAGTCTACCTATCCATGAGTATGGTATGTGTTTCCATTTATGTAGATGTCTTTTGGTTTCTTACAGTAGTGTTTTGTAGTTTTATTTGTATAGTCTTTTACATCCCTGGTTAGAGTTATTCCTAAGTATTTTATTTTTTATGGACTATTATAAATGGCATTGTTTTCCTGATTTCCTTTTCATCGTTATCTGTATTGGTGTATAGGAATCTAACTGTAAATTCACATTTTTTTATATTTTATAATTGAGATATAATTTATATACCATAAAATTTATCCATTTAAAGTCTGCAATTCAGTGGCTTTTAGTATTTTCACAAAGTTTTGCAACTGTCACCACTACCTAATTCCAGAATGTTTTTATCATCCTCAAAACCCCATACCCTTTTCCTCCCAGCCACTGGCAACTGTTAATCTACTTTCTGTCTCTATGGATTTGCCTCTTCTGGACATTTCATATAATTAGAATCATACAATACTGTATTTTTATGCAAATAACATGTGCCTGCTAGATTTGTTTGCCAGCCATGCCCTCCCCCGTGAGGTATTTTCGTAAGTGCATTATATGAAAATATCTTGCAGGTGGATGGCACAGTTAGCAAACAAACGTAGAAGGGGTGTGGTATTTGCATAAAAATATTGTATTTGGCCTTTTGTGTTTGATTCTTTAAATTAACATGTTTTCAAGGTTCCTGCATATTGTAACATGTATCAGTACTTCAGTGTTTTATGGCTGAATAATATTCCATTGTTTGGCTGTACCAGATTTTGTTTATCCATTCAAGTTGATGGACATTTGGGTTGTTTTACTTTTTGGCTGTTGTGAATAATGCTGCTATGAACATTCTGTGCAAGTTTTTGTCTGGACATATGTTTTCAGTTCTCTTAAATGTGTATACCTAGGAGTGGAATTGTTGTATCGTATGATAACTCGATGTTTAACTTTTTTTTTTTTTTTTTTTTTTTTTTTTTTAATATTTTATTGTACTTCAGGTGAAGGCTTACAGAACAGATAGTTTCTCATGTAACAGTAACACACATGCTGTTTTATGACATTGGTTAGCAACCCCACAACATTTTAACCCTCTAAATACTCAACTTTTTTTTTTTTTTTTTTTTTGGTGAAAATACACATAGCCAAAGATACGCCATTTCAAAAATTTTTTTTACATACACATTTAAGTGACATTGACTACGCTCTTCTAATTATGCTGTTATTCTCACTTAAGATGAAGGCTTACAGGACAAAATAGTCTCCCATTTGACAGTTACTACAAATGTTGCCCTATGACAATGGTTAACAATCTCACAACACATCAACAATATCCTTACTCTATTCTGTGTTCCCTATCATCAGCTTCCTACTCCCCTTCTGCCTTCTGGGCCTTGTCACTGGACTCCTGTACCTCGTTACTCTCATGGTTTTACTGGGCTGTCCACTCGCAGGCTGATCAGTGCACATCGAAGGTAACTTTACCACTGAGCTAAAAGGGTGTCTGGGGGCCATACTCTCGGGGTTTCTCCAGTCTCATTTAGGCCAGTAAATCTGGTCTTTTTTTTTTTTTTTTTGTGAGTTAGAATTATGCTCTACATCCTTCTCCAGCTTCGATGTTTAACTTTTTGAGGAACTGCCACACTGTCTTCTAAAGCAATTGTACCATTTTACACTCCCACTAGTGATAAGAGCGTTCCAATTTTTCGATCTTCTTGCCAACACTTGTTATTTTTCATGTTTTTTTAATTCTAGGCATCCGAGTAGATGTAAAGTGGTGTCTCATTGTAGTTTTGATTTGCATTTCCCTAGCCTGGGTGGCACAGTGGTTAAGAGCTTGGGTGCTAACCAAAAGGTCAGCCATTTGAATCCACCAGCTACTCCTTGGAAACCCCATGGGGCAGTTCTACTCTGTCATATAAGATCACTATGAGTCGGAGTCGACTTGACAGCAACGGATTTGGTTTTTTGGTTTGGAATGACTAATGCTGTTGAGCATCTTTTTATGTGTTTGTTGTTCATTTGTATATCGTCTTTGTAGAAATGTCTGTTCAAATCCTTTGCCTATTTTTTAATTGGGTTATTTGTTTTATTGTTGAGTTATAAGAGTCTAGTTTGTGCGATTGGTTATTACATACGGAGGTTTGGGATTGGTCTATTTTTTTTCTTCTTGTTATTCACAGTAGTAAAGTAAATAAATTCCTTTGCCTAGTTGAGGGGGATAAAACATTGTGCAGTTGATATGGAAAAAAGTGCTGTTTAAATTTGCACTGTCATGCTAAAATTAGAGCACGAAGAAATGGTTGCTTAGTTCTTACCTCCTACAGCAATTCAACCCTACCACTGCTGGTACCTCCCCCTCATTCGCCCCCCCGCCCCCCACCCATAAGCCCAACCCAGTGTGCTTAAATCTCTCTTGTTGCTCCTCTTCCCTGAGCAGGTAAGGTCTCCTGTGTTACTACATCCTCCTCTTCTTTTGTTTCTGTGCCTTCCTGCCAAGCGCCACTTGATTTCCTTCTTCTCAGGTATAAGCCTTTTATCTCCTTTCTCATTCAAGATAACATTTTTATGCTAGCTAAAAGCCCTAAAGGAGCCCTGGTGGCACAGTGGTTAAGTGCTTAGCTACCAACTGAAAGGCTGGCGGTTAGAAGCCACCCAGCAGCTCCACAGGAGAGAAGGCCTGGCGATCTGCTCCCATAAAAGTAACAGCCCAGAAAACCGTATGGGGCAGTTCTGCTCTGTCATATGGAGTCATTATGAGTCAAAATTGACTGGGCTGCACACAACAGCAAAAGCCCTAGCAATCCAGAATAGAGAATGAGAAGTGTGGGAGGAATCCCTCCCCAAAGGGCCATTCATTCACAGTTACTGAGTGCCACTGTGTCCTAGGCACTTTGTGAGGTATTAGAGTCATAGGAATGGGCCAAGCAATTATAATTGATGTGGTGGTCTCTAAAGTAAAGTGTGTGGCAGTCCATAGGGGTGAGGAAATAAATTGTTAGAATTCCTATTTATATTTATTTTTTATCTAATTAATGTATAAGCCTAGTAATACATATTGTGGTGTGATGGATTGCTTTTATGAGGCGTTTCTTGCCGTGGTCTTGTAACTCCCACCCAAGTGATTGGGTAGGACTGTGCAGATAGGGTAATTGTGGCCCACCAAGGGGACTGGTCGGTTTTGCCATCCCGCCGGGCTTGAAATGAGCCATCCCAGAGGCGGGAAAGGGAGGATCCCACCACCACCAAGGAAGAACAGCCAGTGTGTCCTTTGGACCTGGGATCCCTGTGCTGAGAAGCTGCTGGAACCAGGAGACTGGCTGGGGGCGGAGAGAGAGAGAGGGAACAAGTGAGCTGTAACACTGAAGATGGCGAGAAGTGGTGGCAGAGAAATGGCGGCAGGAGAGACCAGCAAGAGACAGTGTGATGGGCTTCCCCGCCCATGGAGCAAGAGGCCTGAGTGCTTTTGGGCAGGAGGCATGCTGGTGGATTCAGGTGCCTCCAGGCACTTAGCAGAGCTGAAAGAGCTTTATAACACTTGCCTGAGCAGGACAGAGGCCAAGGGCCAAGGAGAGCCCTGCCTGTGAGCATGGCTAGGAAGAGGCTGTCCTGATGTAAGAGCTATATCCTGAGCATTCCTGAACCTAACTGTTACTTCCCTAATAAACCCCATAATCATGAGTATGGTCAGTGAGTTCCATGTGGTTGTTGCAGTGACTTATCGAACCCAAGAGAGAAGTAGAGAGCGCTGTGGGAAGGACTGTTGGTGTCAGAGTTGGTAAAGATGGCAGAGAGAGGAGGCATGTCTGACCTCCACCTCATAGGAATCAAACTTGGGCTGTTGATCTTGATTCTCCTTCCCCCTTATGAAGTTAGAAGAAGTCAGATGCCACCCCCATGCCATTTTTACATATGATTAAAATTTAGAAATAAATATACATATATTTACTGGTGATATAGTTTAAATTTTTTACTATTGAGATGTGAGATCAAAAACATTTGTAAAGTGGCCTGCATAATTAATCTTGTTTTGTGAGCTGTTTAAACAAAAGATTGTTTTGTACTCCATTGTAAGGGAATAAACTTAGATACTGCAAAACAGCCAGACTTAAAGTTGTACTTCTTTTGTAGCCCCTCCTTTACACAGCACTGCTATATATGCTGATGAAGAGGAATTCTCCAAACAATGTGGATCATCTATCCCTTCAACTCCTCAAGGAAAAGAAGCAAGAAGAAGGTAGTTATACTTCAAGCAATTATTTATGGTTAATGAGATTTCTCAGAAGCTCTTTAAATTAGAAGGTTATAAAACTAAAGCTTTTTAAAAGATTTTTTGAGCTGACTTGTGTTTTTTCCTTAAGAGAACAGGGAAGTAAAAACTTAATTTTTAAATAATTGACATTAATTATAGTAATTCATGTAAGTGACATCTGGTTGTCCCAGTAAACATGCCTGTGAAGTAGTTTAGCTATGAAGTAAAAAATAAAGAGGGGTTAAAAAGTTTTATGAACATAGAATTTTAGGTGGTTTTGAGAGGTCTCTTTAATTTACAAATTATCTAATTAATATAAAAGAGATGTTCTCTAGCACAGGGAAATGGGCTACAAGGGAGACAAAGGAAATACAAAGTCTGTTTCAGATGTGCTGTCTCTAGGAAGCATTGGTCTGAGCCCTACAATTTATATGAAAGCATAGGCTAGGTAAATCATGTAGAAACGATATAGGTAGTCCCCAACTTAAATGACGGGGTTCCGTTCTGACGACTACTCCATCGTAAGCCAGTTCTGATGTAAGTTGAACACCTTTTTTTTTAGTTTTCATTATTATTGCCTTTTATCATCAGTATCTTTATAAATACAATCTTTATTTTTCAGCAGGTGAACATCTGAGAATGATAGCATCAGCAAATTACATGCTGCAACATTGTATATAGTACATATTACTAATGATAAAATATACAAAAAAAAAAAAACCCAGATGGTCATAAGTGCAGTTGGTCATAACTTGAATTGTTGTAAGTCGGGGACTACCTGTATAGTGAAGAACTGCAGCACTAATTATAAATCAGCACTAATTATTAAACTGTCTGATTATAAATTATTAGCTTGAGCAGATCCTTGACTTCTATTAAGTAAGAGGCCAATTCTAGTTACTGAATGTATTTTGAAAGTAAGAAACCAGCATTAAAAAAATATGTCAGTTAGAAATCTGAATTAGGAAGTCTCTTTGAGGTTATCTACATTAGTGAAGTTTTATGGTACTTGGTTATCCCCAAGACTTCAGTTTTTTATGAGATGCTATTAAAAATTCTACTGGTGAATACACACTCAGCTTTAAATGGTGGTGAATGTAATTTTTAAAGTGTATTTTTTATGTAGATAACATTCTCATGGTTTTAAAAATATAAAAGGGTTTTTAATTAAAAAAAAAAAAAACAAAACTTTGTCTCATCTCTACCATCTACCCAGCTTCTAACACCCACTGCACCCTTTGCCCACTATCATTAGTTTCTGAGGTGTCTTTCTAGAATGTCTTTGTGCATGTGAAAGTAAGAAAGAATACAGGTTATTTTAAATCTTTTTTTATATGCAAAAAGTAGCATATAAACACTGTTCTATATACTTTGTCTTTTTTTTTTACATATCAATACACAGGGAGCTTTCTCATTCTCCTTTTTATAGTAGCGGGTATTCTATTATGTGGATAATCCATAATTTATTTGTTGCTGTTGGTTGCCGTCGAGTTGATTCCAACCCATGGTGACCCCACGTGTGCAGAGTAGAACTGCTTCATAGGGTTTTCAAGGCTGTGACCTTTTGGAAGCAGATCACCGGGTCTGTCTTCTGAGGCACCTCTGGGTGGGTTTGAACTGCCAACTTTTTGGTTAAATCGTTTGTGCCACGTAGCGACTCCTTATAATTTATTTACCTAGTCCCACATTAGTGGCAGTTGGATTGTTCTTGTCTTCTGCTGTCACCAGCAGTGCTACATTCAGTAACCTTGTACATAGGTCATTTGATACATGTGCCCATATGTCTATAAAGGTGAAATCCTGGCTCAAATGAAATGTGTATTAGTACACCCTCTCTTCCCTTATCGACATGGTTAGCTTCCAAAGACCAGGTTGTTATGCACAAGTCATCGTTATGTAAGAGTTGGGGCCATGACCCCTCTTTGGTGCCCATATCCCACCCAGTTGCTCACTGCCTATCAGGTGCCCCTGGTGTGTCTCGGCATACGTGTGGTGGGCCTCCCTTCCCTACCGTGCCTTTCTTACCACTGTGGAGCCCTTGGGAGTTGGGGGTGGTGGTTGCCCCCCACCTCCAAAATGGCAGGGGCCCACTGTCACCTGGCTGCGCCCCCAGCCTCCACATGGACCTCCGTGCCTCCACCTTCCCACTTCGCCGGCCCCATAGATGGACCTTGGTGGTGGGCAGCTCCTGGGCCTGAGGCCAGGTGAGGCCTGGCCACCTCGGTCTGGTGGAGGTTGTGGAGGTGGCAAAGAGGTCTCTTTGGAAGAAGAGACTTCTGAGCCACCCACCCAAATTCTGCGGCCCCGGCTTCTGCCACCTGCTTGTGGCCCAGCCTCCCCCACCTCCTATGCACCACCTGCCCGCCTCGCGCTCGCCAGGGGCTGGTCCAGCTCCTCAGCCTAACCCAGGTAAGAAACTGCCGAAGGCTTGTGTGGCCTCGCTTCCTCTCACAAACCTCGCACTCCTCCTCTTCCTCCCCACCCTCACCTGGGCTCCTCAGTAACACACAAAATAGTCAGATAGTAGATTTTTTTTCTGTTGTCGTAAATGCAAAATGTCGGATAATCAGATAATCCATAAGTGAAGAGTAGGTGTAATTTTCATAATTACTGCCATGTTGTATTCCAAAAAGGTTACACCAAGTTACAGTTCCACTAGGAGTTCCTGGGTGGCGCAGAAGGTTAAGCGTAGAACTACTAACCTAAAGAGAAGTTAGTAGTCGAACGCTAACCTCGGAAGAGAGGCCCGGCGATCTGATTCCAAAATGTCACAGCCTTAAAAACTCTATGGAACACAATTCTACTCTGCACATGTGGGGTCGCCATGATCAGAATCAACTCAAGGGCATCTAACAACAACCCAGTTCCTCTAGCAATATAGATTGCCTGTTTGCCCTGCAGCCTTGCCACCAGTGTTGCAAAACTTGTGGATTTTTGCCAGTGTTATAGGTCAAAAACAAACAAACAAACAAAAAAACCTCTTGCAGTCTAGTTCTGGCCTTTTGTCTCTGGTTCCTGAAAATAGCCCTTGGAATTCTTGAGCAATCAAGGTACATTTGTTTTCCAAAATACCCAAGCAATACTTAAACATGTGCAAATGTTGTGGAAGTCCCCAGAACTCCACACCCTGGCAAGTAATTTCAGGAAGAGGGAGGAGCATGATGCAGTCGTGCATACTCAGTGATTCAGTCAATCATTGACTATGCATTTTGGACCATGAGGCAGTGTACTGGGAAAGTGGAGCTATAAGATAAAAGAAACCTGGGTGTCTGATGATGATGCAGCTGCCATTCCAGCCCTGAATTCCCTCTGGAGTTTTACTGAGAGGAAAATAAAGTGTCCTGTTCAAGCAATTTGTAGGAAGGAGGTTTCTACCATTTATAGCCATATCTAATCCTATTTAATATATATTGTCGTAGTGGAAGGACTGAATTGATGCTCTGGTAGAAATTAAAACAAAAATTTTATTGAAGGAATAATTTCATTCTGCATTCTCTGTGATGGAGAACACATGGCACTCAAACAGACTGCAGCGCATGATTGGTTTCACATCAAAGCAAGTGCCGGGAAAGAAAAGGAAACTTACAAGGGGTGATTAAACTACAAACTTTTTGAACATCAATTTCTAGCCTAACACAAATCTCTTATTCCTGTACAATTTGACTAAAGCAGTATTTCTAAAGTGAGACATTTAAGCATTCTTGATGTGAGGATTTGGTGATGGATTGCAGGCTGAGTCAAACTTAGTTGGAGTCCCTGAAATGTAAAATCTACCATTAGTTAGGAAAGAGTAAAGATTAAATCAGGTCTAAATCTCAAGTCTTTTGAAGTGTAAGCATTGCCCACCCAGCTAAGGAGGAGTGAGATAGGGCAGGGAGTTCACTGGGTGAATTCCACAAAAGCAGTTAAGCTAGCAGGTTTATTTACATAAGTTAAAGCCCAAATCTGTACTCTGTGTTACAGACACTCAAGACTTTGACAACTGTGTCTGCCTTCTTACTTTAACAAACTTAGTCTCTACCTGGAGCCCTGGTGGCACAGTGGCTAAGAGCTTGGCTGCTAACCATAAGATAGGCAGTTCAAATCCACCAGCTACTCCCTGGAAACCCTATTGGGCAGTTCGACTTTGTCTTGTATGTTCGCTGTGAGTTGGGATCTACTCAATGACAATGAGTATTCTCTACTTAGCTACTGATTTACAAAGAACTAGCAGAAATACCGTGGAAAAATCCTAAAGAGTAATAATTAATTTGGGAGTCAGGACAGGGAACTGAGGCTTGATATATACTTATCTTGGCTATGAAGTTATATATAGGTTCTAACTTTATTTAACATTATCAGTCTTACTTGCTACCCTCTTGTGTTGAGCAGGACACCTTCTCTGGAGCCAGCCGCATAAACATTCTTAACAGGCACTAAGTATTTCTTTATCCAGGTTAGAATCCTGACTCCTGCCTTTTTTTTTTCTTTTAAAGCAGTAAAACTCTGACAAAAGGCTGACTATTTCTTTAGAAGAGTAGAAATGAAAATCTTAGTTTAATTCAGAATGGAGTTTTTAATTTGTGTCTGAAGTCACCCAATTCAGATATGCCAACACCTCAGATTCTAAAATTCACGTCTGTAATATGGTAAGGAGTTTTGGCATTATGCTAAGAGCAGTTGTGGAATTTTAACAGAAGGTGACATGGGTTAGATTTGCATTTAAAAATTATCATTCTGGCTGCTATGTGGAGAATGGATTTGAGAGAGGCAAGAATGGAATGGGTAGACCAGTTTGGAAACCTGGAGGACTAGGGTAATGGCGGCAGAGATACAGGAAAGTGGATGGATTCAAGAAATAGGAAGCTAATCAACAGCGTTTAGTGATGGGTTGGATATAGTAGGGTAGGAGGGTGGGGAAGAGTTGTTGTTAAGGATAACTCCTGGGTTTCTAGCTTGTATAAATGGATATTGGTGCTGCCATTGACCAAGAACAGGGGTTACTGGGAGAAGACTGAGTTTTGGGGGGTGATCATGAGTTTGGTGTGGTGATGTTAAGGTGACAGTTGTGTATTTGGGTCTGGAATTTAGACTATAGGGCTGAGCTGGATTTAAAACTTAAGTTGTTTGCATATAGATGGTATGAAGCAGTCAACAAGGATGAGATCACACAGGTAGAGAGTACAGCCTGAGAGGAGACAAGAAGCTGAGACCAGCCTTTGAGAAACTCCGACATTTGCTGTCTGGGTAGAGGAGAAGGAGCCTGCAAAGGAGAGAGAAGAAAAGTGACCAGAGAGGAAGAAAGAAAACCAGGAGAATGTTTGCTCACAGAAATAAGGGGACGTGTGAGAGTAGTCCCGTTCCCATTGCCATAGAGTCGATACCAATTCATAGGGACCCTGGAGGACAGAGTAGAACTATCTCATAGGTTTCCAAGGCTGTAATCTTTATGGAAACAGACTGCCACATGTTTCTCCTGCAGTGTGGCTAGTGGGTTCAAACTGCTGACCTTTTGGTTAGCAGCTGAGCGCTTAACCACTGCACCACTATGGCTCCTTTTGAGAGTGTTCAGGAGGGTCAGATGCAGCTGAGAAGTCAAGTAAGGTAAGGACTGAACATGCCCATTGCATTTAAGTACATGCATGTTCTTGGTAACCTTGATGAAAGTTGTTTAGGTGGAGTGATAAGTCCAAATAAAGGATAACATTTGGCTAACTCAGACAATGTTTGTGTATGGGTACAAAAGGAAGTCAGGGCAGAAGGGGAATGCACTGGGTGATGGGAGGAGGAGGAGAAAAAGAGAGATTGATCAGCAACATTTCCCAGGACTCTTGCAGGCACCAGCATCCAGGCCCCAAAATCCCCACCAGGGGTATTCAGTTCTTCGTTTCTGGGTCTTTTCCCTGCTCTTAACCCTCTCCTCTCCAGTATTCCCTACCCCCAGTTTTATTCCCATGGTTTTAACTACCTATATGCCGCTGCTTCCCAAGTCTGGTCTCTCTTGTTCAGCCTTTCTCTCCTTGAGTCCCAAAATGTCCTGCCTATTGGTCATATTCCCCTAGATGCCCATGGGTATCTTAGACTCAACAAAGGCAAAGCCAAGCTCAGTCCTTTTCTCCCTCATCCAGTATCAGTCAACAAGCTCCTTTGGTATTTTCTAGGTTAACGGTCCTGCTGTCCACCTAGTCACCCAAAATCCAGGAATCTGGGACTCATTCCTGGTATGTTCTTTCCTCTCACACTGTAGGAAAAATTAGTTTGCAAATCCTATTGGCTCTGGCCTGTGACTATCTCAAGAATCCCATTTTTTCCTCTCGATACCCGGTAACCTTCCTGCAGCTGCAGTAGTTTATGCACTTGCCACTTTTACTAGCATCCCTGCAGTGGTTTCCCTGCCTGTCTTTTTGTCTTCTGAATTGTCCTCTTCCCTCTTATCCACCTACCCACTCACCTAGCTTCCAGAGTGATCTTCCTGAAGTGCAAGTCTTGTCATCTAACTGTCATGTCTACAGTCTTGTGGGGCTCCACATTGCCTGTATGCATGGTATAAAAGGCCCCTGTGCCAGTTTGGATCTTTTAGTTAAGTAGATATTGAGGAAGAGTTAGGAGTAGAAGAAGTTTATTAGGGGGTAACATCTGTGAAAGGTAAAGGTGGAAGAATTGGGATTAGGCAGGGATGGCCTCAGACTCTCAGTTTTGGTAAATCCAAGGAAGAGCTCTGGAGCAAAACTGCCTGTTAGAAGATTCCTATATTGGGCAGGAGCAGCCAGGCCTTAGTATGCTCACCATGCTTAGTCATTGGCTGAAGACTGCCTGCAAACTGTGTGGCACCTCGGCTCAGACGCTGTGGCGGATCCTGATGGCACTGCAGCTGGAGTATGGAGTGGAGGCTCATTCTGCTCGTCACAGCTGAAGGGAGATCTGACCAGCAAGCCTCTGTGGCTGCCCCTCTACCCCAACTCCAGGTCAAGTCCTTTGATGTCTTCCCTAGCATTATTTTCTCTTGAACAGTACATTCTATTCTGTACTATCTTTCAAGTTCCTTGAACATGCAGGCTGTTTTACACCACTGTGCTTTTACATTGACTTTTTCTTCTATTTTAGATAATCTTCCTTCTACTTCTATGCCTGGAAAAGTGTTATCAAAAGTCAGCTCAGTTGTCGTTACCCTGATGCTATCCCTGCCCTAGTCATGAATCCACATCTTCTATGTCAAATGCTTACTAAGTCATCACTGCACTGTATTTGGTTTTCCTTCTAAACGGCGGGACCCATTTTTAAAGTAATTTATTCAGTACATCTTGCATTATGAGCTTGGTATTAAATAAATGTTTGTTGTATTGAGTTGAATGAAAAGATGAAAGAACCCATCAGAAGTTAGGGTTTTTTTTTTTTCTTTTTCAAAGGACAAAAGGACATATTCCCTTTATTGTCACCTAATGATGGGCTTCAGGCATCCCTGGTGGCACAAATGGTTAAGCGCTCAACTACTAGCCAAAAGGTTGGTGGTTCAAACCCACCCAGAGGCACCTAGGAAGACAAGCCTGGCAATCTGCTTCCAAAAGGTCACAGCCTTGAAAACCCTATGGAGCAGTTCTGCTCTGCACACGTGGGGTCGCCATGAGTTGGAAACCACTTGATGGCAACCAAAAACAATGACAACAATGGGCTTTGACTGTGGGTTAGCTTTTAGTATAAATAATAGCCTATAACCTGCTTTGAGGAACGTGCAGTTCTCAGATATGACCACAAGATGCTGTAGGAATGAAACACTGTTGCTTGCCTGACTGGGATAAACTGATGTAGCCTGGGTGTGGGAAGATGTGAGAGACAGTCAGTAAATCTGGGAAGGTGTAGGCCTGTCCACCACAAGTATGGAATCTCCTCATTAAATTGAGCCTATTTTCGTCTTGGACAAGCACTTATAGAAGACATTTGTGAATAAAAATGTAATGTGTGCAAGATATTGATGGCTTGTTCTTTGGTACAGTTTGAACACTTCTGAAAATGAAGCAAGTGAATCTGTAAAAAATCATGCAAAAGAGGTATGTAGAAATGTTCTCTGTTCTACCTTAATTTGTAAGATATATCATACCCTGTTTAGATTAGATACAAATAGAGAAATCTGTAGCAACATTTTTCATAGAGAAGGGGTATTAACTGTGTTTCAGAAGAAAGCACTTTGATAATAGAAAGGGAAGAATTTTATATCTGAAAGTGTTTCTCATGAAGAGGTCTCAAATCTCTATGTACCTTCTCAATTTTCATAGCATTCTTTTAATATGCTTAGGTTGTAATTTACAAAGGCAGAGTGAACTGTTGGGAGTATTCATTTGAAGCTTCTTAATCCAAGTTTTCCTTCCTATCCATTAGTCATATTGCCATCTGCATAATAGGAAGACTATGTTCCCAACATATTTAATATTGAAGTGTAGAAATGAGAAGTGTGGACTTTATGGTTATTTACTGTTGCATTAAGAATTAAAAGCATTTGCATTTTCTAAACCAGTAATGCTGCTTTCTTGACATAGCTAGGAGGAAAACTCAAACCCGTTATTGATGTATCTGAAAGCACTGAAAAAAGTGATGTAACAAAAGATAAGCCAGCTGAGAAAAGAAGTACACAACAGCATGAAGCTACTCCAGCTATGGCATCTTCAGAGCTTTCAGGGAAACCAGCTAAATTGGTCACTCCTAAAAAAACAGGGCCTCTTAATGCCCAATCCTCTGTTGAAAACGAGACCCAGGCAACAGAAAGTCAACAACAGGTAAGAGAGTGCCTGCCATTCTTTTGGAGAGGAAAGAAGTTTTTTGACAAATGTTTGGGAACATTTTCTCTCTGTCCTTTAGTCCTTTTAAAAGATAAATTTGCCATTTACAATCTGCTGTTTAACTTATCTTTAGTGGGCTGAATGGTGACCCCCAAAGATATGTCCATATCCTAATTCCTGGAATCTCTAAATGTTATATTTGGAAAAAGGGTCTTTGCTGATTTGATTAAGTTAAAGATCCTGAGATGAGAAGATTATCCTGGGTTTTGTGAGTGGGCCCTAAATGCCACCACAAATATCCTTATAAGAGATAGGTGGAGAGGGGTTAGATGGACACCCACAGAGGAGAAAGCAGGGTGAAGACAAAGGCAAAGATTGGAGTGATATGGCCACAAGCCAAGGAATGGCATTGCCAACAAAAGCTGGAAGGTGCAAGGAGTAGATTCTCATCTAGAGTCCCATGGGGAGTGTGATCCTTGGCGACATCTTAATTTTGGCCCACTGAAATGGATTTTGGACTTCTGACATCCAGATCTGTGAGAGAATACAGTTTTCTTGTTTTAAGCCACCGAGTTTGTGGTAATTGCTACAGCAGCCACAGGAAACCGATACACCATTCAGTGGCTCTTTCTTTTCACTTATGTACTTTTTAGTTCTAGAATTTCCATTTGGTTCTCTTTTAACAGTTTATGTTTCTCTGCTGAGATTCTCTATATCATAATGTTGAGTCATTAAGACCATAATTTCCTTTACTTCTTTGAACATACTTATGACAGCTGCCTTAAAATCTTTGCCTTCTAAATCCAAGATCTGGGCCACCTTGGAGTCAGTTTCTACTGACTGCTTTTTTTTGACTGTTGTTAGGTGCCGTCAGGTGAGTTCCGACTCATAGAGACCTTATGTACAACAGAACAAAACACTGCCCAGTCCTGCACCATCCTCACAGTTGTTGCTATGTTTGAGCCCATTGTTGCAGCCACTGTGTCAATCCGTCTTATCAAGGGTCTTCCTCTTTTACGTTGACCCTCTCCCTTACCAAGCATAATGTCCTTCTCCAGGGACTGGTCCTTTCTGATAACACGTCCAAAGTACGTGAGAGGAAGTCTCGCAGTCCTTGCTTCTAAGGAACATTCTGGCTGTGCTTCTTCTAAGACAGATTTGTTCATTCTTCTGGCAGTCCGTGGTATATGAATATTCTTTGCCAACACCATAATTCAAAGGCATAAATTCTGTCTTCTTTATTCATTGACCAGCTTTCCCCTGCATATGAGGTGATTGAAAATACTATGGCTTGAGTCAGGTGCACCTTAGTCTTCAAAATGACATCTTTGCTTTTGAACACTTTAAAGAGGTCTTTTGCAGCAGATTTGCCCAATGCAATGATACGTCCTTTGATTTCTTCTCTCTCTTTTTTTTTTTTGTTGTAATTAAATGAAGTTTACATTTCAAGTTAGTCTCTCATACAAAATTTTTATACATACATTGTTATGAGACCCTAATTGCTCACCCCATTCTGCGATAGCACACTCCTCCTTTCTGCCCTTGATTCCCCATGACCATTCAAGCAGCTCCTAACCCTCTCTGCCTTCCCATCTCACCTCTGGACAGAAGCTGCCCCTTTGGTCTCTTGTATCTACTTGACTAAGAGGCACACGCTTCACGAGTATCACTTTATGTCCCACAGTCCAGTCCAATCCCTGTCTGAAGAGTTGGCCTCAGAAATTGTTTTAGTTCTGGGCTGATAGAGAGTCCAGGGGCCTTGCTTTCCGGGGCACCTCCAGTCTCAGTCAGACCATTAAGTCTGGTCTTCCTACTAGAATTTGAGTTCTGCACCCCATCCTTCTACTGCTCCATCAGGGACTCTCTGTTGTGTTCCCTGTCAGGATGTTCATTGGTGGTAGCTGGGCACCATCTAGTTCTTCTGGTCTCGGACTAATGAAGTCTCTGGTTTATGTGGCCCATTCTGTCTCTTGGGCTAATACTTTCCTTGTGTCTTTGGTGTTCTTTGTTCTTCTTTACTCCAAGTGGTTGGGACCAATTGATGCATCTTAGATGGCCACTTGCAAGCTTTTAAGACCCCAGATGCCACTCACCAAAGGAGGACACAGAACATTTTCTTAATAAGCTTTGTTATGCCAGTTGACCTAGATGTCCCCTGAAAGCATGGTCCCCAGACCCCTACCCCTGCTACTCTGTCCTTGAAAGTATTTGATTGTATTCAGGAAACTTCTTAGTTTTGGTTTAGTCCAGTTGTGCTGACTTCCCCTGTAGTGAGTGCTGTCCTTCCCTTCGCCTAAGATGATTCTTATTTACTATCTAGTTAGTGAATAACCCTCACCCTCCCTTCCCACCCCCGTAACCATCAAAGGATGTTTTCTTCTGTGTTTAAACGTTATTCTTGAGTTCTTATAATAGTGGTCTTATACAGTATTTGTCCTTCTGTGACTAAATTCACTCAGCATAATAAGTTTCCGGTTTCCACCATGTTATACGATGTTTCACAGTTCATCATTGTTCTTTATCGTTGTGTGATATTCTGTTGTGTGGATATACCATAATTTGTTTATCCATTTGTCCATTGATGGGCACCTAGGTTGCTTCCATCTTTTTGCTATTGTGAACAGTGCTGCAGTGAACATAGGTGTGCATATATCTATTCATGTGATGGCTCTTATTTCTCTCGGATATATTCCAAGGAGCAGGATAGCTGGATCATATGGTACTTCTGTTTCTAGCTTTTTAAGGAAGCACCAAATCGATTTCCAAAGTGGTTGTACCATTTTACATTCCCACCAACAGTGTATAAGTGTTCCAGTCTCTCCATAGCCTCTCCAGCATTTATTATTTTGTGTTTTTTTGGATTAATGCTAGCCTTGTTGGGGTGAGATGATATCTCATTGTAGTTTTTATCTGCATTTCTCTAATGGCTAATGACCGTGAGCATTTCTTCATGTGTCTGTTAGCCGCCTACGTCCTTTGATTTCTTGACTGCTGCTTCCATGGGCATTTATTGTGGATCCAAGTAAAGTGAAATCCTTGACAACTTCAATCTTGTCTCCTTTTATCATGATGTTGCTTATCGGTTCAGTTGTGAGGATTTTTGTTTTCTTTATGTTGAGGTGTAATTCATACTGAAGGCTATAGTCTTTGATTTTCATCAGTAGGTGCTTCAAGTCCTCTTCACTTTCAGCAAGCAAGGTTGTGTCGTCTGCATATCACAAGTTGTTAATGAGTCTTCCTCTAATCCTGATGCTATGTTCTTCTTCATATAGTCCAGCTTCTCAGATAATTTGCTCAGCATACAGACTGAATAGGTATGGTGAAAGGATACAACCCTGACGCATACCTTTCCTGATTTTAAACCACTCAATATCTCCTTGTTCTGTTCGAACAACTGCCTCTTAGTCTATGTTCAGGTTCCGTATGGGCACAATTAAGTGTTCTGGAATTCCCATTCTTCGCAATGTTACCCATAATTTGTTATGATCCACACAGTTGAATGCCTTTGCATAGTCTATAAAACAGACGTAAACATCTTTCTCGTATTCTCTGCTTTCAGCCAAAATCCATCTGACTTCAGCAATGATATCCTTTTCTTGACTGTCGGTCACATTTTCCTGTATAATATTTTTAATCTTGTACTTTTTAACCATGTGAATAATCGTAGTTTGATTATTGGCTGATATCTTGGACTTCTGTAGGCTTGGCTTTATCCTTTCTTAAGGTCAATATGTAGAAAGCCTAAGGTGTTTATTTGAAAGCCTCTCTTACTCAGTGGGACTCAACCTCCGACTTAGTTTTCATTTGCTGCATAAAAATTACCACAAACTTAATGGCTTAAAACACCATACATTATCTCACAGTTTTTTAGGTCAGACGTCTGAGCTTAGCTGGATTCTTTGCTCATGGTCTTACAAGGCTGAAATCAAGGTGCTAGCCAGGACTGAAATCTCATCTGAGATTCTGGGTCCTCTTCTAAGCTTGTTCAGGTGGTTAATAGAATTCACTTCCTTTCAGTTGTAGGACTGAAGTCCCTCATTTCTCCCTGGCTGTCAGCTGAGTGTCCCTCTCACCTCTTAGAGGTTGCCTTCTAGTCCTAGCCATCTGGCCCTCTCACAAAATGGCCGCTTACTTCTTCAAAGCCGGCAGGAAAATCTCTTCAGTCAGCTACAACAAAGTCTTAAATACTGTAACCTAATCTGAGGGAACTATCTCATCACACTCACAGGTGCCACTCACACTCAAGGGGGAGAGATTATACAAGTCGTTGGGGGTCATCTTAGAATTCTGCCTACCATAGCCTCCAGTCTCTGTCTCCCTGGTGGATCTTATCAGAGATTGATTATAAGTCTTGTTATGATGGTTCTAGTGTAGGCCTTACTCAAGGGCAGTGTGTCTCAACCTTTTTTCATTATTGTCCTCCCCAAGGAGTCTTTTTGGCGTAGTGGTTAAGAGCTCAGCTGCTAACCAAAAGGTTGGCAGTTTGAATCCACCAGCTGCTCCTTGGAAACCCTATGGGGCAGTTCTACTCTGTCCTGTAGGGTCACTATGAGTCGGAATCGACTCAATGGCAGTGGATTTTTTTGGGTAAGGAGTCTTTTTAGACATTTTTCCCCCTAATTACCTACCCCCACCAATTAATGAATTTTAATACCACAAGTATACTGTATATTAGCTTATGGACTTGGGCCCTTTGGAGGGTGAGAAACCATTATAATACCTATGATATTTTTGCACACCTTCTCCCTCCAAGAACCAATTTTTGCCTCCTTGGAGGCAGTATTGCCCCTGTTGAGATTGCATGCTCTAGGTATTGTCCTTCCCCCCAAAATGTGGCCTTTCTACTATCTCAGCTGAATAGACAGGTGTTAAAAGGTGTTAATGAGGTCTCTGCATTCTCTGCATCCAGTGTCCCCCAGCACTGCTTGTCCTCTGTTAATCTGTTCTGTTCTCAATCCCATGATAGCCTCTCTCTGGTAAACTTTATGTAGTCTCAC